CGGAATCGGGACGAAACCGGAAGTAACAATCCTACTTTCGAATTAGTTTTAGACTAAAAAGTCCTTTAGTGGTGACTGGTTAAGTTTTAGGTGTCTGGGTAAGATGGTAAAGGTGAGGGTAAAGGGTGGGTTGGGGTTATTTTATGGGAATGGCTGGTTAAGTTTAGGCATGAATAGGTAGTTTGTTATATTTACTTTCGCTTCCGTCCCGATTCCGTATCTAGTGCTGACCCTAGAGACATGGGTTTATCACCGCAATGCCCCATCTTAAAATAAGATAAAATCAATTATTTTCACATTAGTTTGGTTCTACAATGCCCAGGGACATTCCTCTATTTGGCTAAATCCTGTGAAAATCCAGTAGAGTAATTTTGGTATTTATTTTTTTCCCTCCTCTGCTAGTGGCAAATCAACCATTTTGCTAAATTTGTGACGACAGCTGCAATGTTAATACTTGTCTGCTCAAAATCATACAGTTGAAAATCCAGTAGAAATTGCTTATTATCAGTTATGATGAGAATGAGAACCTTGCAGATGCATTTCAGGACTGTGGTCATCCCGTCACTGCTGTATCAGGTGTGTGCGTGCGTGCATGCGTGTACATAGTAAGTAAGTAAGTAATCTTTATTTATATTACTTATCAACATACAGTATGTTATGAATAATCAGCAGGCACTTAAATATCTCTATTCTTTGAAAAAATCTCAAGGAGTAACAAAAACCTCCACTACTCGTCACATTCAACATGGAGACAATCCTGGGTTCGAAGCCCGGTTGGAACAGGGCCTTTCATTGGTTTCGCTCTCTATGGACCAATGGCTGGTGTTTGTTTCCTGTGTGCGAACTGTTTGATTATCTGATCTGTTGTCGGTGATTCCATAACTTTATAAAGTCCTCCGAGACAACTGCTGCTGTGATTAAGGGCAATGCACAAATACATTGAATTGAATGAGGACAACTCTCTCCCGAGCCCCTAAATAACCCTTTGTGTGTGATTCCACGTGTTGTCAGTTATGTCTCATTACGATGTTGGTTTCTCTCGGTTGTCCAAAGCTGTAGATCCATATTCAGAGCGGCTCATAGGCGCACATCCCTGTCTGCTTCAGCTCTGCGCATATTTATAAGTGAGATATTCTTGTGTGTTTACAGAGCCAGACTGTATAATGATTATTTACTGATCTGTAATTGCTTGTTGAGTCTCGGGGCAGTTGTAATCGCAGACTTGTTTGTGTTGAGCCCGTGTGCACAGTGCCGGCGGTGCGGTGCGAGCGGACGCCACTTCCCAATGTTATTTTGGTGTATTTTGGATTGGGGAGCGCTCCGAGAGAAGGTTCAGCCAGCTGCAGGACATTATACAGTAGGAATAAATACAGACACTGTAGTTAGTTATAGGGACATTGTAGGGAGATTGTTTGGGGACTGTCACTGCTGTATCAGTAGGGACACTAATGATGTTGAAGCATATTAATGTTCTTTGGTTTTTTGTTATTTCAGACTGAGGATTCGGTCTCTGTTTGACATGACCCACACACTTGTGCACAGCCACAGTACAAAACATTTAGAAAAAAATATAACACTTTACATCTGTTTATAGATGTGGTACGGAACAAGAATAAACACATGTGAGTGGGTTTGCCTCGGTCTCCATGGAGACATTGTTCCTTTGGCTGTAATCTTCCATAGTATATGATTATATTGAAGAATTGAATTGAAGTCAGCTGACCCACCACAGGAGCTCCATCTTCTGCATATAAACAGATTCTCTGCCTCAGTGAATGTTCCTAACAGATGACGAAAACACGCCCCAATCAGACTCTGCTCCCAGTCCTGCAGCACGACGCAAAAATATGATCCGTCTGCAATGTTCCCGTCCGCGCTCCCGCAGAAAGAATGCTGATTTGTGTACAAACTGGAGCAGCGCAAGCCTCAGTGCTCCTGACAGCTGCTGTGGATAATTACTGCACTGTAGATGTTAAGTAACAGACAGGGGCAGAGCACAGCAGCAACGAGACACATCCACCTATCAGAGGCAGGGGACCGCCTCATACCTGTCAGCTCATGTTACACCACCAACATTACGCACTGTTTCTGTTTCTGCGGGCCCTTAAGTAGTATAGCTGTATCTTGGAATTGCGTGTGCGTGTGCGTGTGTGTGGAACATGTGTGACCATCGGGCACAAAACAGTTCTTTGATTTTTTTTTTTTTTTTTTTTTTTTTTTTTATTTGCAGAAAAAAAGAAGACATACAAAACAACAGTGATACAAAAACATACATAGACATTCAGGTATACATAAAGGTGAACATACAGGTAGACGTACGGGTAGATATACAGGTAGGGAAACAGGTATTGGCGGTAAAAAGGGTTGAGGGGGGAAGGAAAAAGTTAGTTAGTCAACATCGGCGGTAACATAGGATTCTTTAGTTGGAGAGAAGGAAGCGTAAATAGAAGAGTGACAGTATTTGCACATCTATAACACCCACAAACACACTATGTATATATATGTGCCTACATATGTGCACATATACACACATACACACAATACACACACATACATCCATACACATATATATATACGTACACACATATACCCATACCCATACATACACACCCACATAACGCGTATATATCACACATATACTAACATACACATACATATTTAACTACATATGCATACATATATAACTATACGCCCGTGCATATGCACATCTATACACCTCTATTCACATATACAAGAGAGACATAAAATAACAAGGTTGGGGTGGTGATAACAATAATAACAATCAGTAAGGAGAAAAGGGCAGGGGGACTGTAACAAGAAGGGTGTGTGGATCATTATTTATAGATCTTTATATTACATTTATTTATTTATTTATTTTTTAATGAATTAATATTTACTCGTGGGTGTAGTTGAGTACTAAGCCAGGCGTGACCCCCCCCCCCGACCTCCAGAGTGCATCTCTTCCAGCACACCCCAGGACACCAATTCCGTGTGCGCTCGCTGCCCATTTTTGTGGATTTGTGAAAAGGTTTCTTTGAAACAATCTTATAGAAAAACAAAGACCTCCATCTCGTCAGATTCAACATTCGAATCTCGGGCGGAAACAGCCCGAGATTTGAATGAAACAGTTCACATGCTACAGTCTGACAGTGTAACAGTACACATGCTACAGTCTGACAGTGTAACAGTACACATGCTACAGTCTGACAGTGAAACAGTACACATGCTACAGTCTGACAGTGTAACAGTACACATGCTACAGTCTGACAGTGAAACAGTGCACATGCTACAGTCTGACAGTGTAACAGTACACATGCTACAGTCTGACAGTGAAACAGTTCACATGCTACAGTCTGACAGTGTAACAGTACACATGCTACAGTCTGACAGTGAAACAGTACACATGCTACAGTCTGACAGTGAAACAGTTCACATGCTACAGTCTGACAATGAAACAGTTCACATGCTACAGTCTGACAGTGTAACAGTACACATGCTACAGTCTGACAGTGAAACAGTACACATGCTACAGTCTGACAGTGTAACAGTACACATGCTACAGTCTGACAGTGAAACAGTTCACATGCTACAGTCTGACAGTGAAACAGTTCACATGCTACAGTCTGACAGTGTAACAGTACACATGCTACAGTTTAACTGTATAGTGTAACAGGGTATTATTTTGTTTTTGTATCCGTCTTTCTTCTGTGGAGCTGTAGTTCCAATGCCCACTGAGAGGCGGGAGGGCGAGGGCTCTGGCCGGGGAATGCTCTGTTAGTGATGTTTAGCCTCAGGACAGACTGAGGTGAGTCAGCTTGCCCCTGCTGCCCTCCACCCACAGCATCTCTGCGTAAACAAATCCGAGCTGTGGTGCACCAGCTGGGCAGAGGATGGCGCCCGGATGACTGTGTGAAGGAGGGGGAGGGACGAGGTCTATCCCCCCTCAGGGTTCACTCACCTCAGTCACCCACAGACCTTCCCCCAGCACTGATGAGTACCTTCTCTGGGCGGCACGGTGGCTGAGTGGATAGCACTCTCGCCTCTCAGCAAGAAGGTCCTGGGTTCGAATCCCGGCCGGACCAGGGCCTTTCTGAGTGGAGTTCGCATGTTCTCCCCGTGCCTGCATAGGTTTCCTCCGGGTACTCCGGTTTCCCCTACCACTAAAAATATGTACAATAGGTATGGCATGCGCCTCCTGTTCGGCGACCCCACTCCCATCTCTGTGTGGAGTGAGAGGACAAGTGCCCAAAAATAACAATTGTAAACCGCTTTGTGACTCTGGTCTGTGAAAGGCGGTATATAAATAAAGCTTACTTACTTACTTTAACAATTGTTACTCTCTATTATAACGTAGCTGACTTTTAGAGTAGAGTAGAGTAGAGTAACACATTTTATTTGTCGAGTAAACATAACACATTTTATTTGTGTTATGCTTCGGAATGTGAAATATTCTTAAGTAGAAAAAATATCAATAATGTGGCTAGTTTAATTAAGTTTAGTTGTAAGTAAGTTTATTTTTATAGCACAGTTCATACACAAGACAACTCAAAGTGCTGAACAAAACAAGAAAAGAAACATTTAAATCATAAATCACAATACATGGTGTGCATTTCTCCCAAAATATGATTATATAAACATGTATTTGTTTTCAGTTTACAGTATGTGTCTATCACCCTCTATCACATTACATTGAGAGAGGGAGCCGCTCCCATCGACGGACAGGTAGAAGATACAGGACTGAGGCTATAGAACCATGACTGATGCTAAAAATTCAGGACTGAGACTGTAGATCTAGAGCTTCAGGTTGAGTGTCTTTACCAAGGACACAATTACAGCAGACTCCAGGGAGTCAGTGAAGTAGTATCGGTGCATTATAATTATAATTATAATAATTATTATTATTATTATTATTATTATTAATTAATTATTGAAAAAAAAGTGAGAAAAGTAGATCTCCCTCCCATAGGTGTGATTTTACATCCCTGGTTTCACACACGGTTTTACACACGGCCCTCCTCACAAACACAAACAGGGGGAGTTGCTGTGGCCGCCACCCGCTCGGCACATTGATCGGGGCGGTGCGCAACGCATTGATCGGCTCGGTGCGCGTGGCGGTCTCTGGGACGGCTGGACATGTTCACCGCGGCGAGGCAGGAGCGCGTGGGGAGATGAATGGGCTGGAGAGCCGCACTGACTGACAGGGACAATTGTAATAAATGGTGTAGTGTCGGCAGCAGAATGAGCTGGAGTGGAGGCCATCACGCAGACGCACGGTGACAGTGACGGGACTTGAGAGCCCTCCTCCAGTGGCCTGTCCCCCCTGCTCACCTCAATCACCAGAGCAATACAGACTCATGACTCTGACAAACGGGAATACCATTCACATGGCTAATGGTGATGGAGAAGGCCTCTGTTTGTGAGCAGTGTTTAATGGCTCTCCTCTGTAAGCTTATGTTTTGACAACTTCATCATCAAGGAAACAATGGTCAAAGCAAAGCAGCAACACTGTAATGTTTTCCTTCTTCGAGTAGCATTACAATAGATGTGCCAACAATCTTAAAATCTTAGTTACTTAAACTAGGCAGACGTTGAATTGCATTGATGATCCAGTCTGACTGATCGGACAGACCACACCCCTGTGGTCTCTGGAAAAGTGAGTGTAAGCCAAGGCGAAGCTCCCCTCATCTCTTTGATGGTCCGTGCACCCTCTTTCCACTTCCCAATCTCAATCATCTCTCTTATCCAATACATTTTCAATCGATACGAGAGGCAATCGAAATCGGCAAGCTCTGGCTCCTATTTACATGCAAAGGTGGACCCCTCTATATTAGTTTGTTTCACGCTCACCATTTTGGGCTTAAATCTGTGGTTTAGTGTGCTCTGTGATCCTATTGTTTATATTGTGATATTGTCTTTGTAAATCTAGATGTAATTTACATACCTGTGGTGGCTTTTTGGGATTTACTTTCAGTCCTAATGAAGTCAGAGAGGTGAAGCCAGTGAGATCATACTAAACCACCAGTACACAATCATTATTGTTACTTTTTGTAAGTCATTCATTCATACTGTATCCCCTTTATTAGTCCATTTCTGGGTCGGGAAGGGTGACAATCAGAGCTTCCACCTAATGCTCATAGCACCAGTCCCTCGTTGGGAGCTTTAGGCAATGTGGGGTTAAGTGTCTCGCCCAGGGACACATCAACGGTAGACATTAGTGGGAGCAGTTGGAGTAGGTCTCATGGGAGGATGGAACCCACGACTTTCAGGTCCAAAGGCCAATGCTATCAACTGAGCCACTGTCCCCCCTTTTTTGTAAGACAATCTTCCGTAATAGCAGAGAAGTAAAAGGAATGCACAGATGTAGTATGAACAAACTGAAAAAATCATCAGATATAGAGTCAGTTATGGAGGAGAAAAGTAGAGTTCAGTGCATTCTTAGATCACACAAAGACGATTAAACTGCACTCTTCAAAACACTTTCAGTGAGGATTTGTGACCCTGTTAAACATTAGTTTTAATACGTGTTCTGCTTTCTGGGCATGCAAGATGGCCGCTATGGTCCCCAGCTCTTCTGAAACAAGAGACAAAAACTCGTCTTTTACATCTGCGTATGGTCTGATCTTCAAACACAACTTCATGGCAGTCATTTGAAGCCTTTATTCCATCGCTGACGGGTTTGGAGAAGAAAAGGCAACATTTACCAGTGCTTAGGAGCCATCTGAAGATAACAATCCACCGCGTGTTGGAGATAATGCTGTCCTTTTTACGTGGCTCTTGTGGAGAGGCTCTTCTTTAAAGGGTAGAAGGCAAATAGCAGCTCGGGCCAGAGGCTTTTCACAGACCGCTGCCCTTGCTTCATAATCCACAGATCGCCGGGCACGGTTTGACTTTTCGGAGATTGTGGCGGTAACAAGACAGTTCAGATGTGGAGCTGGAGTCTACAGAGGGGTCAGGCATGTCACAGTCAGAACAGACGATGTGGTGAAACAAAGGGCTGCATATATATTGTAATTAAGTCGACTTTTAATGGAGGGTTGACTCATGCCAGCACATTTAAAAAAATATATTAAAGCTGGGGTACCTCTTTTACTTATGGTACAGCGTTTGTCCCATTGTAAAAGAAAAATATGATGATCCTGTGTAGAGTCATCCTTGGACCTTTTCTGTTCAATCTCAGAAGTCCTACTGGAGGACATGGACCAGACTCAGTCCTACAGGGGAACATGGACCAGACTCAGTCCTACAGGAGAACATGGACCAGACTCAGTCCTACAGGGGAACATGGACCAGACTCAGTCCTACAGGAGAACATGGACCAGACTCAGTCCTACAGGAGAACATGGACCAGACTCAAGATAAACAAAGCACTTTGAGCTGTGAGAGCAACTGTGCTGTACAAATAGGCCCTGTAAGTCTTTGATTCTTTGGGCTGAGAGCTGACTGGTTGAGTGAGAGTGGTCCTCTCTTTTTCACTTTTCTGTCTGAAAAAGCTGATTGAACGATGTGACAGAGGCCAGAAATACTTTATGTGAAAACCAGGAACTAGAGACATTTCATGGTTTCATGTGGTTCCTCATCAAAAACACATCTTTGCTGCCTGGAACAAACACATCCCCCGCCCCATCTGTCTTAATGCTCTGTTTGCAAACTCTTTAGGGCTGTCACAATCCTCAGAGAAAAGCTGTTCAGAAACAATTGGACTGTAAGGCAGATCTACTGGCGGTTTGGTAAAGGCCTGTTACTATAGGGATGTGAGCTAGGAAGGGTTAAGCACCGCCCTATTACAGCAGATGAGTGTAGATGGAAGTTTATCTCCTTTCTTTCTTAAAAACAATTGATAATTAGAATATTGTGATGTCATTTGAAACCAGTTAACGTTGAAGCTACAGTGTGTGCATATGTAATGAGCTTCTCTCTCTCTTCTCTCTGCTCTCGGCCTCCGTTCTCCCTCCAACAGGTGAGTCTGCATCTTTATTTCCTCTCTTCTGTTGTCGAATGTGTTTTGTGTTTATTTTCAAACTCTTCATGCATAACATAAAGCTCTGAGGACCCTTAATACCTTTCAGAATCATCCACATCCGTCTGATGTCTTTTTCCATTAGGATGTTGTGTGGCCTGGAGACGGCCTCAGTGGTTTTCTACTTTTGCTTAGAGGATTTTCAGGAAGAACTAAAATATACTCTCAGTATATTGTACATTTTGCTCTAAAATGTCGTTTTTGGACTGATAAGGGAAACCCAACAATGCAAATGTTTAGTCTTAGCTCTTCTTAGCACATTGTTTAAAGTGGAACACACATATTTCTTTCTATTTTTGTGATGCAGTGATGAGGAGGCGGGGCTTATCAGTTAAAGTTTGTTGGATTGATTTTGTGAAAAATGTGGAATGTTGATCCACTTCAGCTCACACACATAATGTCTATGCATTTTTCTCTTATTATTATCAGGAACTGTCAGCGTATATATATATTATAGGCATAATTAACTCATTGTGTTAATATGCTTTTAATTGATTTCACTCAACACAAAGGTATTAGTCAAGTCAATATTTTCAAAATCACGTCCCAGAGTCAAATTAAGCCCAATGCTGAATGTGTCTTCTGTAAGACCAAACTACCCCCATGTCCGCTTGAGCTCTCTTAACTCTCTTGACAAGCCGCCCGCAGACCTGCTCTGTAAACACGGCTTGGACGTCTTTATAAAAGCTAACACTTGTGGGCGCGTTTAGAGGCAGCTCAAGCGAAGCCTTGACTGCGGCCTCTCTGCTGTGGACAGAGCCATTAATGATGAACCTGCGCTCGTTCCTGTGCGCGCCGAGGTCACTCCGTAACGAGCTGTTTTTTATGCTAATGACCCTTTTTGAAGTGGCGCACAGCCTGTCCTTGGTGCACAGCATTCAGCCGCAGAGACGGCTTTGTATTCATCGTAATGCAATCTGAAAACACTTTCAATCAAACATCTGCTTTGCCGCATTCAGCCTTTAGAATCTCTTATTTTTGTCCAAAATGAGTTTTTAAAGGTTTTTCCGATGAATCCTGGGACGCCGTGTGCTGCTCCGTAAATCACCTGTTAGTGGTTTTTAGAAGGAAGGTTCTGCACATGGAAGTTTATGTTTGCAAAAAGTGTATAAAGTTATGGAGCCACACCCAAAGAGGACTTTGAACCAATCAGACCACAGCATCTTCATCCTTTTAGATCCTCTTTTGTGTAGGAATGAACCCTGCGAGTCACTATGTCACTCTTTGGGCTGAAAGCTGATTGGTCCAACCTTTATATGTCACACTCGCACGCACGCCTGCATGCACGCACGGGTGTGTCCCTCTTTCAGATCTCTTAAACATTGATAAAATCATGAATGATGATTTCTTATGATCACAGACCCCTGGTGGCCAGAGAGCGATTCTGCATGAACACAGTCATTAGAGATCTGGAATAATCGAAGCAATATGGCTATGACAAAGCCATGTTCATTTTGAGTCATAGAAGTATATTAAAAACAAATATACTCAACTTGTGTAAAGTGAAGAAGAGCCTTTATGTCATTTGAATATAACAGACAAAGGAAAGAACTAGAACAGCGCATGTGATCCGTCCTCTTTACATTATTTACAGAGCTTGCTTATACTTTCTTCAGGCATCAGGGTGGGGCTTAAACGTTATCTTTAACGAATATCTTTTTTGGGGTAACAGAGCTCATTGACCATATTTGTGAATTTCTTACTGACTAATCTGGTTTTTAACTCTTTGACCATGATGAGATGTGCTCATTTCAACGCACAAAAACATACTTACAACCGGTGAGTTCACAAACTGTTTTTGTGATGGAGCAGAAATAGTATCTTTGAAAAGTGTCATCCCTGAAACCACTCTTGTAAAAGCTCGCACCTTCTGTACGACCAAGCGGCGTCTGCAAATGAACTACCATATCGCTCACGCAAGCAGGGCATTGTGGGTATCTCATAACCGCTGTCTGTCGGCCGTGTCCAAACTTTGTTAGAACAGCCGGATAAGTGTAATCTCTGGACATGTATAGGAGATAGGAGCATATGGCGGTGAATGGATTACATGCTGTCGTGGAGCTCCATATGCCGCGCGGCGCTCTCTCCTTGAACCGTGGGAAGGGAGGGGTCGCCATGGAAACAGAACAGGTGCGCGCAGATGTTCGGGCTTTGGAGGATTGGTAAATAAGACGTGCAGAGGTACTGCTGCTGTGCTGCGTGCTGCAACACCACTCCAGGTGTGGTAGGATCACAGAGACAGCATCAGAGAAGCAGCATACAGACAGATATTACACACTCTGAGCAACAAATATGTGACTGCTTCATATACTCTGAACTACATAGAACTGTAGTCAGACTGTGCAACGAACAATGAGGACTAACAAATACTGCCTACCTGACCTCATCTGTGCAATAATTTAAACTAATGTCAGAATGTGCAATATATAGAATACAATACAATACAATACAATTATTCTTGTATAGCCCTAGGTCACAACAGAAGTCATCTCAGAGGACTTAACAAAACCATTGAAATCACCAACACAGGTCAGAGAATCAACAGTTAAAACACATGAAGAATACAGTATAAAGCACACACAGAAGAAAATGTCCATACATGTTGTAGAATGCTAAAGTGTCCTGATCATCACCAATCCTTTCTGTTGGACACTAACTGTCCAACAAGACCCTCCTGCATCGACAAGGAAAAACTCTTAAAAAACCCAGTGGGAAAAAGTGAGAAACCTTGGAGGAGAACTAGGGAAACCCACAGGGAGGGAGACCCATATGAGAAAGGGATCCGCTCCTCCGGACGGACAGACTAATGATCTAGGACCTAAGCTAGCTACAGAACGTGGACCAGTGGACGCTGAACGTGGACAGGTCCGGTGCAGGACCGAAGCACTCCCAGGCGGGTCGAATGTTCTCTGTCGCTTTACTTTGTCATTTTGTCCCAAACCCTCTTGCTGCAAACGTATATTTCCTGCACTCGAATATACAGTATTTTATAATTGCTTGTTTATTATGTAAGGGATAATGTAAAGAATGCAGGTCATTATCGGGAAGTAAGTAAGTCCTTTTAACATGGGTATGCCCTTATTTTCATAGGTTTCCACCAGTGCCCTTCAAATCAGATATGACACCCGCCCTTTTTTCCTGAAATGGGGAACACTGCCAAGTCTGAGAACATAACAAATGTATTTATTTTGGTTTGAAAACACTAATCAATAATTATTGATTTTGACTGAAACAAAACACTTATAATATGATATAGTTTTCAGCCATATCGCCCAGCCCTACTTTGAGATTTTTTTGCAGACAGTGGCCCAGGACCTTACACTGGAGGAAGGAAACAGGAGGTATTCCAACACATTATGGAAGTTACCTTTACACCATCAGTGAGAAAGCAGAGGGTAAAGAGGAAGGCTCCTGCAAACGTAAAGCAGCACTTCTCCTGACACTGATCAGGTTTAATCCAAGTGCTGCTTTCAGATTCCTTCTGGGATTGACACAGTTTACAGCTGTCTGGCTTCATGGCACAATGTAATTATTGGTGGATTAGAGAGCATTGTACCAAATTAAAATAAGATTAAATTCCCACTTCTACCATTACGTGGAGACCATTTATTGATCCCAAACATTTCTATTGCCATAACATATATATTTTTCTGTGGACAATTTATCTGACAATCCCTGTATGAGTTTGGAATAATCGTATATTATCTGTTTAATCCTATCAACTTCAAAGGAGAGCTAAATTCACTCCTGAAACCATAAATCACATACAAACCAAAGAGACAGCGGACTCCAGACTCCTGTTGAGTCAGGTCTGTGGACAAGCAGCTCTCTCACAGTGAGGACTGTACTACTATACTACTGTACGGATCAATTCAAGTGTCTACGGTGCCCTCGGAACTATTCCCATCTGAATACGACATACTGCCCCCCCTATTTAAATGAATGGTAATCAAGACCAAATAATATAATGACCAATCAAAAACATCTTATCTAAATAGACTTCTTTAGCTTTAGTGCAGCTCTGGTTTAATCCAAGAAAGAATTGAAATCTAAAGTCTAGTTTAACACAAAAAATAACATTGGATATCTTCATGTTTCCCTTTCCTTCTCTTATTTGAATACTTTTGTTGATAAAATCCATACATATTTGTTACATTTATTTATAAGTATCTTACACGCAAATATGTTGTCCCAATGTAAATGAAATGACTTGACAACGAGTCCGGCCATCCACAATTTACCGATATCCCATTGTGGCCTCTCGGAGTAATTGCCTACTCCTTATTTAACCTCTTACCAGCCACCTCATTTTGGCTTGTGCACAAAAGTTGTGAATACCTGAAATAGTGTGTGAGTGCTTGTGTCACTTTGTGTGCATGTGTGTGTTTGCATGTGTATGTTTGTGTGTGTTTATATTAATGTGTGTGATATGGGCTCTCTCTTGTTACCTGGCTTGAAGTGGTGTGTGTGTGTGTGTGTGTGTCTGTGTGTGTCTGTAGCGTGTCTGTATTGTGTATTGCAACACGAGTCCTGTGGAGATGTGTCTACTCTCTGCAGCAGAACTTCAATAGTACATGCTCGGGAATCCCCCAGAATGCCTTGTGGTGCGTGGGGAACATGGCGGCGCTGGGCTGTGACGGTGCAGCCAGCACAGGAGACTCTGGCGTTAATGGGAGCAGAGTGAGTTTGTCAGTATTACATAAGAGAGGGAGCAGGGAGGCGGCTAATGGCTCCTGGCGGCTGATCCAGGCTTCAACTCACAGACCACACTTTAAATATGTGTTTTCAAATATTTATAATGACTTTTATTCAGGACATTGTTTTCCACAGTAATTGTTCTTGTTCAGAGGAGTTCAATGACTGAGTCTCATTTCATGTTTTATGTACTGTAACTATTTACAAATGTCTCCAAACAAATCATACAATAATGTTACATTTGAGGATGTAGTATAACTCATCTCACCTGGAGTGGTGCCCGTGTCTGTGTGTGCATGTATATCGTAGACTGTAAATATTAATCAACTTAGTTGAAACTTATGTGTCATCACTTTTTCCTCCTGCCGTGAGTGGCTCCTCCTGCAGGAATATATGAGAAAATGCATTTGCGCATGCGTTAGCCGGCACGAGCTCCATTCAGTTAACGAGTGCATCAAAAAAATAATACACCGCTCAGCATTGACACGTGCCCGGAACCTAGCTTTTGGACCAGGCTGTAAAGCCGTTTTCGAGAGGAAAGAATTTGTCGCAAGAATCCACTGGATGATTCTGTTTCCCAGTAAACTACAGGCAGGCAGTCGGATTACAAGCATGTCATCGAAACATGCTCCTGGACCCTTTTGAGCCGGGTCCCGCCCCACACCTGTGTATATATGTGTGTGTAAGTTATGGGTTCACCAACAGCTGAGCATAGAATCAAACAGTTCAAACACAGTGAAGACAATGATAGCAAACACATAGGAGCCATTGGTCCATTGGGAGCGGGATGACCACTGTCCAGAAATGTCAACAAATGTAAAGAAATGTCCTGGATCACCACCGTCCTCAGAGCCTTCTGCATCACAGAGGAACCACTCAGAAACCAAATGGGGTAAGTGAGAAACTGTGAGGAGGCCCATATTGAGAGAGGAGGACCCGTCTCTCCCCACTTCTTGCGGTCTGCCTGCTCACTCCGATGACTGGCCGATGATGGTTATTGTACTTGACAAAAGATTGTGGCTTCACCAATTGTTTTTCCCAAACCAACTCCCTTTTTGCGTGTCCAGGACTGAGAAGCTTGTCTGACAGGCAAATCGAAAACCCCACTTTGTCAGTTCAGATAAACCCACAGCAGTGTTCACAAACGTATTACATTATGTATCACTTGTTATTTCAAAGCAAT